ATGTGATATTTCAAAAATGATTATCACAAATTTCAACCAATAAAATCGCTCGAAAGTTAAATGTCCATTATGCTGAACAAAGTAATGTTTCAATCAAACGACATGTAACACAACACCCCAAAAGAAAAGTTGAAACAACAAATTGTTTATGTAAGTACAATCTAATTAATAATCTATTTTTATAATAAATAAGGATAGATCAGCAAAGCAATGCCGGCAACATCCTCGTTTAACGTTTCATTCATTATAAAAATTGAAGTTTTTTTTTTTAATTTTTACTTAAGAATAAATGAATTAAGCTTAATAATGTATTCAAATAAATATGTTAAAACTATATTCTTTACTACCACCTTTCAATAAGTTTGCAATTTATATCCTTTACGGTTTATTTTCAATATCATTAATAACGTCAGCACAGGAGAGTGGAAAGAGTGGTGAACCAGACTCTATATCGCAGAAGAACAATTGTAAAGTAGTGTCCTTGGATCCTGGTGCGGATGCGATTAAGCAAGTAACGATAGGGTATGTTCAACTTTTTAGCACAATTCAACCACAAACACAACCAAAAATCAATTGGGATAATTATGATTTTATAAATGTTATTGGTAAGAATATAAAAAAAAAAATTTTTTTCTTTCCATTGCGCATATTCGTACAAATTGAATGGATTACTTGAAATAACAATTTTGAAACTTAGCATATCCACAAGACGGAGGAGGAGATCAGTATGGTTTTTTTCGGCCAAGGGATGTTGACAAGTTAAGCCCAATAAATGATTTGGTAGCTAATAAAGCTAACCCGTCTACTAAAGTAAGCATTATATTAAAATATTTAGTATTAAAATATTAAAATATGATTTCAATTTAATAATAATTATTATGATATAGATTCTTCTTTCAATAAGAAATTATAACGTTGATCAATGGCCGAAAGATGATGATGTCGATTATCAAAGAATTATTGACGATGCAATTGATACTATTAAAGAGTATCAATTAGATGGTGTAGACATTGAATATCCTGGAATGAGAGGAAATTTTTGTAAAGGTCCTAATGGATGGGATAAAAAAGATGATGACAGATTCATTAAATTTTTAAACGACCTTCAAGAGGCATTGAATGGAAAAACACTAATATTGACTGTTGGTAGAGAATTAATTGGAAATTTAAAAGTTGCAATTAATTATCTTAACATTGAAACATATCATAATAGTTTATACCTAAATGCAAATGCAAATGCAAAAACGCCAAATCAGGACTTCTATTTATCAGGTCCAAATTCTCCATTGAAAGCATTCGAAGATGCATATTCAGCATGGAATAACGCTGGAATCAATAATAACCAAATAATTATGGGCGTGGATTTTGGGAACACCATTCAAGTGGTATATGATCCTAATAATGAACTTGCACGAAGTCAAACTGTTAAAGCTCCCAAAAATGCTATTATTGATGTTAATAGTCTAGAAATAACGAAACAAACCCGGCAAATCAAATATCCTTGTAATGATCCTTATCAAATATATTCATGGCCATGGAAATACTCTTCATCCAATCTAGATCCAAATTCTAACTTTTGTACTGTTAACAACAATAATGATCATTTTAATTGGACACGTAATTTTAGTCAAACTGATGGATCTGAGACACCATGGCTTTACAGCGCTGTTATAGGTGCTGAATTTAATTATTATTATGTATCTTATGAAGATCTTAGTTCATTACGTAGTAAATTAGAGTTTGCAGTGACAAATTCAATCGGAGGAATGTCAATATCTGACGTTAGTTATGA